ATCCGTATATTACAGACCTGCGGCTATCCCCCAGATAAAAAGTATTTATTCTTGGGATTATGTCGACAGAGGAAATAACTCACATATATTGCCTCCTCTTTGCCCTCAAGTGTAGATACCCAACTGCGTTTATTTGCTTAGAGGAAACCATGAAATTGAAAGAATTTCAAATACATACGGATTTTTATGACGAAGCGAATGTACAAGTTCAACCAGACCCTATATAACGAGATAACAGATACATTTAACTTCTTACCTTTCGCCGCCATCGTGAACAAAAATATTTTCCTGTGTCCATGGCGGAATTGGCCCTCATGTTTTGACCTTATAGATAGCATATCTCTTGACGAGAAGCCAGATGACATAATAGGGAGAAAACGTTTACGTACAGTAGATTTCCTTTGGTCCGATCCGAAAAATGTTCCTTTAGATTTCATCCAGAGCAAGCGCGGAAGCGGTTACTACTTCAACTCCAATGCTCTCTCGAGGTTCTTGAGAAGAATACTTCAAAACTTTGATTCGCTCTCATGAAATGTGTAAAGACGGAATGCACAGGCCATTTAACGATGACAAATGCATTACAGTATTTAGCAATACAGATTACTGTGGAAGAAAGAACCACGCAGCTGTTGCTTTCTTATCTAAAGATAAAGAAATTGAATTTAAGAAATTCAAGTATATCTCTCCAAAGGAAAACAACACCTTCCACGTAATACTTCCAAACTGGCTAATGGATGTTAAATCGACCAAGTTTTGGACTCTTTGACACATTCTATACGAATTCGGATATGGAATCTCCCGATGCAAACGAAATAGAATATCATAACTCTCTATCTTTGTTGTTGTAATATAAAATTTTGTGTGTTGTATATTAGATTTTAAAATTAAATAAAATTTTTTTAGAAAATTTTTTTATGAAATGTTTTAAAAACAATCTTTTGGTTTTGATTAGCAATAGCACCTGAAGTATGATCCTTTTCGAATATTAATTGATTTAAAAGATTTTGATGGTTATAAGATTCAGAATAAAGGACAAATTTTGCTGCCTCAAGCTGCCTCAATATTCTTTAATGAAATATTTAGTTCGTGTTTTCTGTTTTCAATTTTTAAAAACCTGAAAGGTTTCAAGAAAGATCATTTCAATTCATATTTTTTTTCTTTTCAAGAATTTCCTAAAATGAAATAACAGACGAAAATGTCACTTCACGGCGCTCATCTGATATTAATTCAAAATTGAAAATAGCTGTGGTGATGGGTAATTGAAAAAATAATCTTTGGAACTATATTAGCTCCAATTGAAGCTAAATATTTCACTATTTCCGTATGACCTCTCGATGATGCATGAGTGTAAAACAGTCTCATTAAGACGATTTTTTAGTTTAAAATTCGCTCCAGCTGATAATAGATATTTAATAATCTCAAAATGACCAAACCATGCCGTACTAATAAGAGGAGTAGATGAATCGTTATTTAATACCAAATTGCATCAGCACCTTTTGAGAGAAAGATATTTTAACAACTTACAAGATGATTATGAATGCATGCATAACTTAATGGAGTTTTCCTCCATTTTATCTTTTACATGTATATTGAAACCACATTCAGAAGAAAAACTGAACAAATTTGAGATTTCCATCTTCAGCTGCAATATGAATAAAATTTTTTACCATTTCGGAGCTTGCCTATCTTTATGCGCATGCTGGCTTGCTATTAATAGCTTATTAGGATATTTTTCTCTTGCAAGATCCTTGTAGAAATAATAAGCTTGATCATAACTCAAATTCTTAAAGTTACTATTTTGTTAAAAAATCAACAACATTATGATGAGAATTATAATTTTTATTATCCCGCATTCTTAAAAGTGAGTTACTGAGTGATTTGAATACATCTTTGGAAGTATTTTCATAAACTATTTCTTGTATTTTTTCAATAACATTTTTACTGCAAAATTCATAATTAATAAACTATACAAATTAGCAAAGTTTTTATCTCTTTGATTTAAATGAAATAATGAATCTAACCAGAGAGTCTTCGTTTTTTTCAAAAAGTCCCGATATTTAAGAATTCGATCCACAATATCGAATCAAGCATTTTGGAAATTGATATTAGTTTCTTTTCATTAATTTTTGAAGAAGAATGCTGAAATGTTTGATACATTCTGTATCATTGTTTCATCATTATGTTGAAATATTAAATCAAGCAATTCAATACAATTTATCTATTTTTATTGTCTCTTGGCCAATTCTTGATTAAGTATAACTCCCTGAGCTCATTAATTTCACAAGTAAGTTCCAAATATTAAATAGATCCTTTAAAACTAGTGCATCGCATTTAATTTTTTCGGGGTTTATATTGAAGTAATATTCCTTAAGATATCATATGTTTTCCTTTGAGTTAATTTTGTATCAATGGTAATTGAATTGTTATGATGATCTAGTAAATATTGAGTGCATTAGTGGAAAGAGCATCATCCTAAATATGATGCGATGTTAATTCACTGAGGAAATCATTTTAAAAAGTTTATCAATTATTGAAATTCTACATTTTCAATTTTCATTCAATTGACAAAAATTTCACATTGAATAGGATAATTGCTCGAAGTCTAATTCAAGATCAAAATATGAAAATAGTTATAGGAAACCAATCATCTCGGAAAACAACTGAGTTTCCTAAATCATGAGTTAACAAAGAAAAGAAAGTATTCTCAATATCCATTTTAAAATACTTTCTTTTCTTTGTCTCCTCATTTATATCCTGAAATTCATTAATTTTTTGTCAATAACAAATTTTCTATGTTAATTTTCAATTGATCTACGCCATTATTTATGCAAACTGGTCGCCTTTTTCTGAGATTCCTTTTTTAAATCACATTGTTAAAGCTTTTTGACTTATCTGTAATCAAGAATTGCTAATTTATATATCAAATATCTATTTCCTAATGATAACATATCTAAAAATTCAAAAATATAATTCAAAAATTCATGAAAAAGTTAAATTTTATAATTTTTATCTTTATTCTATAGTTAATAAACAAAATATCTCTATAAATTTCAAAGTTAATTATCAGAATCAGCAGTTTCTGCTCTCTCATTGAAGAATCCATCAGCATGAACTTCTTCAAAGTCGTTTCTGAATGGATCGTCGTTATCTCCCATCACAGACGTTGACCACAAGTGGGTTTTCATCAGCCAGTGTCTGTGCAGATGGTGCAGGAGTCTCGAGAAGATGAACTTCATCCATTTGAACGGCGGAATCGGATGAAGAAGAAGATCTCGTGTATCCGATGAAGAACCCAGATGAATGCTGATAACGACAAGAACAAGCAATAAGCCAGAGAAAATGGCTGCAATAATAATTGCCAAATCACTGCTCTTCATCAGAATTGAAGCCTAATTCGGCCTAACTAATGTTGATGTCGATGTTTTTCGTCAATGTCTTTATGGTTGTTTGCATCTGTTCAACAATTGTTGTCAATGAATTGGAATAAGTTGTTTGCTGTGGAATTTGACAAGTGCATTTGTAAATGTTGCCTTGTCTGTTGTTGTCAGAGTGACTAATACTGTCTCAACCTTCGTTTCAGTCTCAGAATAATAATATCCTTTCCTTGGAGACTGAGATGGCGTTGGTAGGACCTTCTTGGTCTTCTTCGGTGTCCTTCTAGGTGTGTTAGGAGGCGTTGTGGCCGGTGGAATGGTCTGTTTAGGTGTTTTTTCGCGGTGACCTGGCCGGAGAACGTGGAATAACCGTTTGTAAAGGGGACGGTTTGTGGCGTACGAGTGGCAGATGGAGTTTTCCGGAGTATTTGCCGGTGTAGGCTTTGGAGACCTTGTAGGAGACTTTTGCAGGTGTCATATAGGGTGTTTCCGAGTGGTGTGTCCATTGGTGTATCAGCCAAAGTTGGAGAAGGTGAAGGAACAGGTGTCGGATATGGAGTTAATCCGGTGGCCTCCGAGTAGACCTTGGAGTTGAAGGGAGAGGTGTTGGTGTTGGGGTTCTGTGAACAGTCAGGCGTTTGAAAGTTGGAAAAACTTGAGTTGTCGGGAAAACTTTTGCAGATCTTGTTGTTCTCAGTGGAAGCTGAGTAATTGGAGTAGCTTTGTCTGGGAAAATCTGTTGGTGATGGCATGAATGTAGGTCCTGATGACTTTCCAGCTTTATTTGAGGGCTTTGCGAAATTTGAATTTTTGTTGTTGCTCTGCTTGTAACTGGTTCGTATTCGGAGAAAACTACGTCTGCGCATGTCTCTTCTTGATGCATAGTATACATTCTTCTCGAAGCGTTCCATTTTCTGCGTATCTGTTCGCGTATGCGATATTATTTTCTTCAATTCCGGACATCCAGTCGTGGAAAGAGTGCCAAAGGCAGAATCCTTCAAAGAGAATGACGTGGCCAGCTCCCGTTCCATCTGCCCTGAAAGAATATCCGTATGTAGCTTTATTTAATAAGAAACAACAGCCTTGAGTGTATAATATGCAGCCTTCACACTGCCTCTTTTGTAATCTGTGTAATGATATGAAGGCCATGGCACCTCCCTCCGCGTCCACGGAAGCGCACGGCCAATTTGGAATTAATATTAAAGTTTGTTTGCTGTAAGTTTTCTGATATTTTGTGTCGCCGGCTTGGTTCTTGAGGAAGTCACTGTTAAAGAACTTCGCAGGAGATTCAACAAGGTAAAAAGCTCCTCCAGTGATGCCACACTGGTTTTCGATGAAATTGACGTTTTCGAAGTAAGAGTCAGCAGCACATGTAAGTACAATTGCACCACAAGGTCATTGGCTACATTCTTCTTGAATTCGCAGGCTTTTGATTCACAAAAGAAAGGACATAAGCGATTCCTGCGTTCGTAACCTTGAAACCAGATAGCTCCGGCCCAACGGTATGCTCTATTATATGTAAAGATCGCATTTTCCATGAATATACGTGAATATAAACAAGCTATTGCTCCGCCAACAGCTGCGGAGTTATTGACAAATGAATCGACATTTTTGGTCTCGTAACGTATGTTTAACTGCACAGAAAGTGAAAAAACATGCCGCCGCCAGAACCTGAAAGCTAATCCTGCTCCAAAAGCAAAGTTTTGTTCAAATGTACCTGATACAGTTACTGAGCATGCCGATATATTCGAAGAATCACGCTTAGTGTTCTTTTATTCCTGTTGCGATTGTTGTAATCTCGATCGAATCTTTCTTCCAACGATCCCAATCGAAGAAAGAAATTTCGGCACCATTATCTTTAAATGTAGGAACGTCAACCTGGTCTAATTTTGGTCTTTAAATCGAGAAAGAAAAGAAGACCAAAGGTCAGCATTTATAAGAATTTTATTGAGAAGTTTACGCATACATCGAAGTCCAAAAAACATGTAAACATTGAATTAAATATGAAAATGAAGAACTTTGATTTTTTCGTAAAATTGAATTTTAAATTGAGAAGTGGTCGTTTAAAAAAAAGAATTGAGGGTATTTTCAACTAGATTTATGTCAATATATATACAATTAGTTCAGGCAATAACCTTTATGTACTTTCAATTTTTTGTGAGAGGAATGTTTTATGAAGATTCTAATAAAGTTGAATTTTTATTATGCTATACATAAATAGAATAATGTTAATATAACTCAAATTACAATTCAAAGTATTGAAAAAATTTACAAAGAAAATTGAAAAAAGAAATGATATAAAAATGGTAATGAGTTATAATTTCGTAAAATATTTTATTATGATATAACAAATTGAATTGTATGAAAAGATATATTTATCAGATATGAATTTAATTATATATAATGGCAACAATAAAAATTGAAAACTTTTATTCAAAATGTCATTTTCCATCTGAAAATCTTTTCATAATATTTTGCACGCTTGAAATTAATATTAAAAAAGATTTTCGATCAAAAATAAATCTTACTCTCTGAAAATGTTTTATCAGATTGACTGTATTAGGATTTTGTTTCAATCATTAAAAAAGCATGTCTATTTTCTCATAGTATTACATCATACCAGAAAGCTCAGAAAATACTCATTATTATGCTACTTCATCATTTCGTTATTAATACTAAAACTAATATTGTTAATATGTCTTACATGCTATGTATAATCTAACAATATGCACTTGTAATTGCAATTAATGCAAAATAAATTAAATCGACATTATCTCCTGATTATAATCAAATACTAGCTAATATGACAATGGAAATAGTATCTATATAAAGAAATTATTTGGATATCACTTCGTTTGGTTTTGAAAATAATATAAATACAAAACCCCATTTGGAATAATGTCATAAAAATATAGTAGCTGATGGATTATAGCGCTTTCATATGGAGACCCATATAGAAACTATATCATTATTTATAGAGCCATTCTACTTAATATGGATATCAAATTCAAAATCTTTCAATTTTGATAAAAATTTTATCATTCTCGATTTGCATTCTGTATTTTCATACACCTTATTAAATTGTTTTAAATATCTTCTATAATATATGCATAGTTTTGGATTCTATAATCACGATCCGAATAATAATCATTGTATCATTGATTGAACATACTTTGCGTATGTATAAAGGATCTGCTACAAGCTATTTACGAAAACTACGCTTAAACACTGAAATTAAATTATAAACATGATTTTTCTGCATTATCATCTATAAGAAAAATGCATATGATTATAACGCCGCAGATTTGTTCCTTTATTATATACACTACAATAAATTATAATGGAAAAACATGTTCAAAAAGAAATATGAAAATATTAACTGGAAATTTGAAATCAAAAATTTATGATGTTTATACAACTGTGCTCACAACGAAATTTTGCTACTTTATAGATTATTTGTACTATATATATTTTCCGCGTGAGCAGTTTTTTATCAAGTATATTTCTCGTATTGCATATCATGAGAATTAAATTAGCTGTACACCAATTAGCTTTCTAGATTTAGAAATTCCATTGAGGTTTAAAGGTAAATAATTTTTGTCATTTTTTATAAATGTCGGAAAATGGCAAATGCGGTGCAACCAAATAAAAGTCCAATGCTCGAAGCAATTAGAGTTATGATCGAAAATAAAAAGTATAACAGATCAAGTTGGAAACTTAGCAGCGATGTATCACAATTATTGAAAATCGAACAGCAAAATCCAGGCGCCGCAGATGTCATAATGAAGGAAAACTCAAAAATTTAGGAAATGCCAACAAATAAGTATTAATTCGGATATTTTTTATCTCATTCACAAAAAAATACGTTGAAATCATACAAAGTCTTCAGTATAATATGATTTCAATCCCATTCATCTGTTTATGATGACAATATTAAAAAGCTTGAAAAGAAAAACCTTATCAAAATATACGAAATGAAATCAAAATTTATCATGTTCATTATATGATAGAATATTACACAGATATTTTGACATGTTTTTCAAATCTAACTTGCCGATATATTAAGAATAAAAAATTATTTTTAGAGAACTTATATTTGCTTTGGACTCTTATTTATTCTCATGATTCTGAATGTATTTATAGATTGTTAGATATTCGAACTGATATTCGATATCTTTCTAATCGATATTCATAAGTTATTAGTTGATTGTTCACTAAAATGCGGCGTCTCTCTAGTAACTAGTTCGAATCCATTGATACAGTTATAGTTGCTCAATCAAGAATTAATTTTCTAAAATTGTCTTCGCAATCAAAGAAAATCTAACTTCTAAAATGGTTAAAGAACAATCTAAATAACCCGAAAATAGAATAAAAATTAGGAAAATCTTAGTAGTATATGCGGACGGGTTTAGTGACTTTTTTGTTACATCTAAAAAAAAAAAAAAAAAAAAAAAAAAAAAAAGGAAGTGGGGCTTCCAAGGGCAA